TAGAATATTGTTGTAACGTATCTGCACGCGATTGTTACAATAAAATACGATTTTCATTGTTTAAAAAATATGATGGTGTTATGTTTCCATTACAGTGTTATTTAGTTTTGAATTAACCATGGATTATAAACAGGTTTTGAAGAACCTAACCCAAAGTTTTGGCCGCAAGTCAGCACTTTCCTGGCGTTAGTAACTTCTGGTATGGTACAGCTATTTCCGTCACGATGTCAATAAAGATTAACTAGTAAATTACTCAGCTAGGCCTAACATACCTTTGAACAGGGACGCCGGAACGATGTGAAGGCAAGGGAGGACAGATTTTCGTGAAAGGGCACTTTTGAATTGATATATACTAAGAGATGTTTGCAAAACATCGGGAGTTGAGCTTCGTCTGATCATGTTTTCTATTTATTGGATGATAGGGGTGTGAGAGGGTTCTCCGCCAGGCGATTGCGCTATTCTTGAAGCTCGATGACGGCATTTCTTGCGTTTTCTGAAGCAAATTGGTAAAAGAATCGCACTAACATTTCTTACAATTCGCTATTTCGCTAAGGCAATTTTTTAAATTGAAAGGGCACCTTTGCCCCCCTTGCCCCTCCTGGTAAAGGGCAACGGGGGCGGCTGCCCCTCCTGCCCCCTAGTTCCGGCGTCCCTGCCTTTGAACTATCTACTTTCAAAGCTTCGAGTTTCGGTTCGATATTGGTTATTAACAGCGTGTTCTGCAGCTAGCCCTTAGGCTAGTATTACATATTAATTGTACAGCACCAATATACAGGAGGCATCATTTGCATGTAAATTTCCGCGAACACTAAAATATTCAGGAACTTGACCGTTCGACGTTAACTAGTGCTACGTCTGCGAAGAACCATATAATGTATTGAACAATAAAACATTACATTTTAAGCTAGCAATCAACTTTTCAAGACTGAGAAGATGAGGCATCTTCATAACCAGCCAGCTAAGAGAAGGTTCATTATTTATGGGTTGCGGGCTGGTAAAATAATAGGAGGTCAACTATTTTCTATGGATGTAAATAGAGGGTTAAACATTTATAAGAAGTGTTCTCTTTTTTTTTGGGGGGGGGGACAATAAAATTTCATAGCATTGACATAAAGAAGATTAGGTAGAAAGAAATAATGCAGTTACCGGTACAGTCGACACCGACATCTTTAGAGTGGTCACAGTTGTGTACATTCCACCCACGGTGACTGCAATCCCAAATGAATGATTCATCACCAGTGCACTTCACATCGTCAAACAATATTGAACCAGTTCCTTGACCACCGTAAGCTTTCTTGCCTGTCGCGTTTACTCCACTGAAACCCAACTGACGACAGACAACGCGACTGTCGGTATCATCCCATTCATCATCACAGACGGTACCCCAGCCAAAGGAAGGATGAAATATTTCGAGTCTCCCTGTTTTGTTGCTCTTTGTATTTGCCAATCTAATGTTTAGGTCCGACTTAGCTATAACAAAAGAGATTAAATATAATTACAGCAGGTAATATCTATGTTCACGACACCGTGTGACATCGCGAAATTAAAATTGATTAGTAATTAACGCAGGGTCGGAGCAAAATTAATGATGACGAAATCAATTAATTAAAAACGTCTAGTCATTGTACAAATCCGAGAACTTAACTCACACCCTAACTATATAACACGAAACAATAACGCGAAAGTCACAAAAGCCGGATTCAGTTATTGTTTTGTTATAGACCACGTTATTAAAATCCGTTGAGAAACGACAATCCTGGCAAAAACTAATGAAACATCCAATATGGCCCCTAAATACTTTCTATAGCCTTTAATATTATTCCTCTACGTTCACTCGTTTTCGCGGTATTTTTCCGTCAACCGCATCTCATTCGCGAGCCAGGGGGTATTTTTACCACTGTTTTTCTGGCTCGGTTCTCACGCCTCAGTGAGCATTCTTTTTTTACAAAGTTAGTTATAGCGAATAAAAGCATCTTTTTAAAACTTATTCGTCCTTGTTATACTGCTGTTGAAGGGGACAAGGCCTCGTTTAACCCGAAGGAACAGAATAACAAGAACAGGGTTTAGCTAGGAAGACTTTGATTGATTTGAAAGAATACTGCATACAAATTTCTCTTTTTATTCGTTGCATTCGTATTCACTCCGAATGAAAATGCGCCGACGTCGCTCTTGCAGTTATCACAAGAGGGATTCTAAATTCTATAACGATTTTCCTACTTAAGCTTTTTCAGCAACGTTCCCAGGCCATCCAAACATAATTTTCGCCTAATTTTCTCATGTGTCGCTTAACCTCCTCAGTTCTCCACAGTCACGGCAAGACTTGGGTATATAAACAGCCCGGCTGTTCAGTTTCTGGGTCACACAATGATTTTTCAGAAACTTCGTGATTACAGTGTAATATGATCTGTTTTGTGTTGGTTCCCGGACTATTTAAAAAGTAGAAGTCAGAGTTTTGCTGTTAATGGTGCTGTTACAACATTAAACCATTCACATCTGCAGTGCCGCAAAAAGCATCCTGCCTTTCTTGTTTGTGATTTTCATTAACCATCTACCGTACAATGTGGAAAATAAAACTGAAACAACCCTGCATGCCAACGGCGCTAAACTACATAAAACAATTACACTAGCCTTACTAAAAACTCCTATCATGCATGTACGATTGTACCACGAGGCCGAAAAAGCTGACTTGTGTTGACAGTGAAAAAGATCTTTGTAACTTCACTTGCAGGAGACTTGTGAAATTACAGTTAATTACACAACAGAGGTATGGGCGTGCACAAATAATGTTCAGTTATCAAGACGAATAGAAAGAGTGCCAAGGCAAGCAACGAGATGGATCATGATGAGCAGGACAGCCTTTGCGTATAACAGCGGATGCCTACCTGAAAAAGTTGCTCCAGTTGACATTTGACAGAGAACGTAATAACTTGCCTGCTGAAATACACATCGGACCATTTTTTTAGCAAGCATCCACTCATTGTATTACAACGGCAATATTAAAATATAGATTACAATTTGCTAAGAACTGTTTTTAATGGTCTCACAAACGTGAAATCATTAAAACTTACTTAACGTAGATACTTTGAAATATAGTTACGTTATTGAAATAGTTTGCACGTGGTGTTTGGTCCGCGATTGTTCCTGTCATGGATCTTAAATTTTAGTAATAACTGTAGATGGCTTGACTATAATGAAATCGTTTAGGTTCAGGAAGGTGTATTATATCAATGTTCTAGTCCCGTTTGTACCACCACATGTTTTAGGCATTTTCATATGATTTTATATTTACAGACTCTGTGTAAATGCAATAATGAGAGCTCAGTTATCTGGAAGTTTGCTTAATTGCTTTACTTGGCTGTATGCTATTGGTCAATCAGAAAATGCGTAGTAACTACAGTTTATTATAAGTGCGGTTCAAACACCAAAATTAACGATGTGCATTGCCTATATTTATCGAACGAAGTCTTCACACAAACAATGCAGCGCTTTATATGCAGCATGATGATACACAACTTTGACCGATATATATTTCCTGCGGCTATTCAAGTGGCTATAAGATATCTTGATGAATAGTTCTAAGTTAATACTGATGAGATAATTTATCCTCATTCCATTCTATTTTTGCATAATTATTTGATATCTCACACATGCAACCAAAAGGTAAAAATGAACTGCAGTGAGCCGCATGACTTTTGTTATAAAGCAGAAGAATATTGTCATTGCTACCCAAAATGAAGATACCACTTCCCTTGGTGACATCGACTCCTAAATTCGAACCTGTTCGCAGGTTAATTAACGCTTAATACAGATAATTGAACATGACAAAATATACAAAATCATAAAGCTGTGCTAAGTTTAGCCGTTTGCAGAGTACTAAGTTGACCGCTCAATGGAGTGTCGCTCAATGCATGTTTGACTGCATATTCCAAGTGAACAAATATCGCAATCTTACACCCCACCTTACTTCATAAGCGATATAATTCACGTACTATATCAGAAAGAAGCGATGAGGAAACGGCTAAGAAAATAGGGCACAGCAGTAAGAAAGATTGATAAAAGTGAGGAAAGTGAATATTTTAGAAAACTATAGTTAATGCAATAAAAAATGGAATTTCCCAAAGAATTCTAGAAGTTTTTCAAATCCAAATTAGTTACTTCATCATTGCCTGGCAACATGACACTAGCTGACTCAACGTTAACTTAACCACCTCAATTGCTGACGCTTTAATAAAATGCTTTGCAACTGTGTTCTTATTTTCCCGCTGCAATCCACGTTCTCCATCACCTATATTTACTTCTCGATGCAACATTGCAACATTGCAACATAGCGAATGAGTTTATTGTAGTTTCAGTGGAGAAAGTTCTCAGCCGATTGTGCTTCTGGCTTGCGAAATACAAGAGTCACCAGGGATTGCAATGGGTACAAGAAAATGTTTTAACTCAATAATTTAGCAACGTATAAGAATAAGATGTACAACGTTCAACCTATTTATTCCAGCCTATGTAAATATGAATATGTTTTGCACAAGTCACATGACGTATTGTATAGTAGCCGCCAATCAGTTTGAATTCAATGCGCTACAAATTGTCCCCGAGCCGGCGGCGCGAAGCGCCGTGTGAGGGTACTAATTCCGCACGGCTAATTATACCCGGGTATGTGAAAACATAGCGCAGTGCAAAGTTGTCCTCCATTTTGTTTATGTTATGGACGGTTTTCCACGTTTTGCGCATGCGCGAGTACAAAATCTGTCGAAGTAAATTGCTGTTCATTTTGAAATGATGTATTTTGCTGTTTTACAAGCAATTTTTTGTTTTAAATTTCGTTAAAAAGTTTAAGAAAGTACAACACTTTTTTCCCCTCGATTTTAACTGGAAATAAGCCAGCAGTTTCATCAATTAGTGGCTGTTCAACTGCGAAACAAAGTTTGTATAATAGCTGTTTTGATGTTGATATCTTTGATAATTTAATCGTTGTTGTGCCGGTTTGGGTAAGTGTAAACATTTCCGTAGTAAAATGCCATGCCGTACTTGCTTTGTCTTGTCGGTTTTATTTATATCTGCGAAATTTTTAAGCCATTCTTAACTCGATAATTCATTTTAATGCAAGCTGGTATGCATGAAATTGCAGTGAATGTTATCGTTCATTATAAAGCTAGCGCATCACGGCATCAGTTGTATTTTTGTGTTTGTTTATAATGGTCTTAATACTTTATGTGGGGTTTTTATACTTCATCTGTTAAGAAAGGCGAGGGGTTGCTGCATGCATGTATTTTCTAGTATAGAAAGTAAAACAATGCGGGAATTGCAGTTACGGGTCGATTAAAGATTGGGCAGTCACGTAGACATGTCATGGTGTAGATTTGTATGTTCCAACTAAAACACGACAGTAAAAAATACTTAACTATCAGTTACTTTAAATGCATTCAAAGACTAGTCATGTTAATCATTAAGTAAACTAGCTATAAACATTAACAATAATTATTATACAGTTGTAGTTGGTAAAAGCAATTTGATTAGCTAAGCGCTTACAGTTAAATGGCGAATTACGCAACCTACAGAAAACTCAGTTATCTGCTAGAAGATAACTGATTTATCTGCAAATGAGCCTTCGATGATTAGCAAGCGGTATCTATTTAGCACTAACAAATGTATAATAAAAACAATTATTAAATTCGGCTTTTGCGATATGCAGAATTATCAAGGTCTCGGTAAGCGTTTTCAGCCTCGCCTTCGGTTCGGCTGATAACGACTTTGATAATTCGGTATAGACACTTCTCTTTATAATTGCATTGTTTCCCTCGGTATCCTGAGACCATTTCGTGGTTGTAGCAGTGGAATGAGGGTGAAAGAACGCAATGCTTACCTTCGAGATCAAAACAGTACTCGTGCACAACATGGTCACCAATTTTGCATATCACCTAATCAAAACAATACACCCTCGTATAATCACCCCTCGAGCTGTTTTACAGACATCGCGTCATTACAAACATCAAGACGCAGAGAGTTTTTCCTAGCCAAGTTGTCCAACCCAAGTAGTTATCCTGCAGCTATAGCTTTGTAGCTATAGTAATTAATGCAGGATCCGAGCAAAATTAATGATGACGAAATTAATTAAAAGGGGATTAACTGTAGTCATTGTACAAATCTGAGAACTTAACTCACACCCTAACTACAGTCTGTTGAAGTAATATCATTACTCTTAAATTTAACTTTAATTTCGTTGCACACGGATAATTTTCGTGTGCTGTGTTATACAATTTTTGTGTATGCGTGTGTTAGGAAATAGCTAAAATGCGGCTGAAACATCGCGTATATTTAAAATCAGATTTAAAGGCTTGTGACTGCTACATTTTAGTCACAATCAGTGGCGTAGCCAGGGTCGAATGTTTGGGGGGGCAAGAGGTTCGAAGCCACGAACCCCCTAGGGGGGTCCGGGGGCATGTTCCCCCGGGAAAATTTTGGTTTCCAGGGCTCGGAAACGCCATTTCCTGCATTCTGATACGAGTTTTTAAAGTAATTGGACGGTCATAAATCACAAAATTCGGTTATATTACTCTAGAACAAGACGCAATACCCTTGACAAAATCTTTAGATTTAATAATTATGTTGATTACCAACTGAAAACTTCATAAAATTTTAGACCTATTGTCATCATTACACATTTGCTATGCTATCTAAATTTAAACTGAATCCATCTAACTTTAAACTAAATCCATTTTTCTTGGAGCCATATCTACAAATTTTTCTACAAGCTCTTCCAGATCAAGCTGTTCCAATATGTCGGCTTCCACAGACATCAGCATAAGACTTTCTAGGCTTTCTTGCTTCATTGTTGACCTTAGTCTGGACTTGATCAGTTTCAACTTCGAAAATGCTCTTTCAGCACTAGTTGAGGTAAGTGGCAGTGTCAAAGTTATTTTCATTAGCTTTATGACGTTTCCGTAGCATTCTGGTTCCGTTTGCAACACCTTGAATAGGTCGTCAAAACTGGCCTTTCTCTTCTCGGACTTCGCTTTTTTATTGACATTGGTGAGCAGCAATGATGTCTGCAAAGAAAAGATTTCGCTCTCTAATGCATCAACATCTAGGTCACTTTGGAACCACTGGACTGCTAAAGATATGTTTTCCCAAGCTTCTGGACTGGCTAAACGAGATGGACCCAAGTATCCAAGTCCCTTTAGAACTGGCGCATTATGTTTGTCGAAACGGCTTTCAATTGAGGAGCTCATAAGATCTAGTATCTACAATATAGAAAATAATTCTAAACATTCTTTAATACACCTACTTTTAGTACTATTTACAAAATAACTGGCCGTTCCGTATCAGTGTATACAGACACGAGTGCTTCGCACGAGTATCTGTGTACACTGATACAGAACGGACACGAATTTTGTAAATTACTTATCAAACGACCTCAAACAGACAATCATGTTTTCAAATTATGTTTAAAAAATAAATGTTATAAACTTAGAAAATTGCGAGAAAAGTTTATGCAAATCAGGACGGTTCTTTATCAGCGTATACAGACACTGATTAAACATGTATTTCTTTTCAATTTTCCTCATAAATTATTAATGAGTTTGATAGTATTAAATGCACACCTACGTTTACTTTTTATTTTGTATTAGAGACAGTCTATATTTAGGCGGGCAACCCTATAATTATACATATGCGTAATCCGGTAATCGAGTGACTTACATTATAATAGAAAGAAACTCTAAACTTGTCTTTTGGCGACAGGTGGACGGCGGTTTCGGGATTGTCGTCAATTCTCCGAGGAATCTTACGTACGCGTTCATCTTTTGGTTCTTCAATACTTAGTATGCGGCATTTTTGAAGAGTACTTTCCCAGAAAGCTTCAAACTTTGGTTCGCACCGAAGAGCCCTGATTGAGGCGAGCAGATCTGTAACCCTCTCGCAGCCGGTAACAACGTCCAAGTCTTCAGATTGCAATTTATCGGATACCCCTTTACTTAGAAGCAAGACTTTTTTGAGTACCTTAAAATGAATATACATTTACGATACAAAAGTCCGAGGGTCTGAAGAGTTGAGTTCTGAAAGACTCTCACACTCATAAAATAATCCCATTCCTAATAATAGAGTCCGAGTGATCAAACCAGTTGGCAAGGGACAGCAAGGGTCATATTGATATGTTGAGAGATCAGGAGGAGCAGAAGCTTCAGCCATTTTGCATAATACGCGAGTATGGGCTATGAGGCTATGAATAATGGATTAGATTATGTAGGCTTTTTATACTGACGGATGGAGTTAAAATTATGACCTAATTACTATTGCTAGAACGATGACATAATGTCTCATGCAATACAGTATGAGCAAGCGAATTCCTTCAATAGTTTTTAGCCAATGCCTAAACTGAAACGTGCCTGATTACGTCAGTCCAGGCTCTAAAATATTTGCATATTCATCCTAGACTAATTAGGCTGAGTGGTTATTACATGATTTTTGTAGACTCATGTAACATGATACAAACACATATAAAATAGTACCGTTTATGACGCAAACACGCAAGCATTGCAACGCGTTTTGAATATTTCTGAAATTCGATGCAATAAGCCGGATGCACCTACTTCAAATTTCCGTCTACGAAGATCACGCAAATGATCAGATAATTATGCGCTGTTTGGAAGTTTTTACTTGGATTTGACTCGTAGCTTACCTCATCCCCCTCCCCCCCAATATCTCCCCGGATTTGAACTTTTCACAAGAGCGGTTTTGGAGACTATTGGGGGGGGGGGCGACCGCCCCCCCTCGCCCCCCCTTGGCTACGCCACTGGTCACAATTCATTGAATTCCATGCATGGTAACAGTATTGGAACTCTATTTAAAGAAAACAACTGAGCCATCTTGTTAGTATCTCACCATATTTTCATGGGCTCACACGTCATAAAAGCCTTAATAGCAGACAATATCAAACAAATTCACCCTAGGCATCTAAAGTCCAACATATTTTACAAGGACGATTTTACAAGTTTTCGTAACGAACTGACTAAGATACGAATGATTTTCTAGCAACCATTCTTACTTTCTGTCATAAAATAGCCAATGACATATAGATTTATTTACAGTTTTGTAGTGAGCTTCGTTCAAAAACGAACTTAAAAAGGGATATCTGCAAAGTTAACCAATTGTAATTAAGGAAAATGGTTTCTTGTACCCATATGCATATAAATTGTAAGATAAGTAAAATTTATAGTAACGCAAATCAACGTTTTAGACCGAGAATCGTTAGTGAGCATCGTGTAATATGAAACGTATGAAATTTGACTACTGGCTGCGTTATGAACTGCGCTACCCACCGGGCACACGACGTTGTTTCAACGTTGAAATTTGGTAGAAAAAAGGTTACGACGTCGACAACCTAATATCTACGTTGCTCTGACGTTGTTTTACAAACAATGGTTCAACAGCGGCCAACAGTAATTTAAATAAACCGCGGTTACAATATACGTAGAGGCAAAAAAGAGTAATTTCCCCTACGTGCACAAGAAAGAAACATGTCTCAAACAGACTCGGATAGCCAGGAAACGGATTTCCAAGACGATGTCTCGACAACTTCAACTCATGGGTCTGAAATTTCGATGACGACTGATAATGAATCAGAAACTAAGGAAGAAATGGACCCTTGGATACCGTTGATAGAAGAAGCGAAGCAATGAAGCAATATAGCTTTTCAGGAAATGAAAGAAAGCAGGGCCGCAGCTAGCATGTATAGTTGGGGGGGGGGTGTAGGCCAAAAACTTCCGAATGACGAAGAAACTTCCCGAATATTTCTTGACATACAAAGCCACGAAGGTGTTTGCTATCCGGAAAATGAAGATGCAATTTACAAACAAAAATACACATAGTTTACGCAAAGACATATTACAGAAGCATGCAGTTCCGTAGGAAGCTCTTTTTTATTGGGGTCTGGAAACGAGGACCGAAGGCCCGAGGAAATTTTTAAATTTAAATTCTCTGAAATGCTATTTCCTGGACATTGGGTAAGTTTTGACAGAATTCTGATGGTCAGAAATCGGAGTTTTAGTATGATATTTGTGACGTTACTCTGAGTATGCATCCACAGCGGGCAAGCTGAAAAGTTTGCTTGGCCACGGTGGGAGTCGAAACCGCGACCTTTGGGATGCTAGTCCAATGTTCTGCCAACTGAGCTACGTGGTCAAGTCAGTTCGAGTTGTTAATAGAGTTTTAGTATGTCGAAATTTACAATTTGCTTACAATTTAGTAGAACTAAATGGGCGAAGGCGTATTTAATTAACTATATATTGCAGGAAAGAGTATAGGTAATATGATTCTTTGCGGTTTGTCATGGATAATGTACAATCACTTTCAGAAGTTGTTGGGACACATGTAGTTTTGGCTTCTAGGTGGATCATTATAGTTTTTTACACATAGTACCGCTGCCCTACCCCTCCCCCCACCCCAATCAATGTTGTTTAAACCAAAACACATCAAACCCGACAAGAAATGGGACACAACATTGAACAGAGGGCGGGTGGGATTGTAGTTTGTTGATATTCAAAGTTTTTGTGGCATCTGTCCCAAGACTTTTGAAACTGATTGTCTGAAAGGCAATGAAAAGCAT